TGCCATGTGTTTTGGGCCACAAGAGCCTCTCCCCATCCCAGCATTTCCCCTACCCTCGCGGAAAGAGTTAAGCTGCCGCCTGCTCGGTGCGCAGCGGAGCGAGCCGGGCGCGCTGGTCCTTCCCTGGTAGCTGTAGATCTAATTGATTCAGATGGGCATTCAACTGGGTCAGCAGACAAGCTGTTCACTCCCGGCTCCGGCAGCGCCGGGCGGCTCTGCCTGCTGCAGCCCCGATGCTCCGTGTGCCGCAGCGCGTGCCGCAGCATCCAGGTTTTTCTGAATTTCCCCGTATTTCTGGGGCTCAAAGGGGACCTGGCCTATTTGTGCAGCTGAGGCATTAGCGCCTGCTGCCCGTCACGTAGCAAAGGCTGCGCTTGCACAGGGCACCTGCGAGCGCCGGCCCAGCGCGGTGTCACCGCAGGCAGCGCCCTGGGCCATGCGGGGTCCCGGGGACCCCTCACGTCCCTTCCTCCTGAGGAACTGGGGTTGCAACAGGGGCCCCCGGGGGCCCGGGCAGCCCAGAGACGTCCCCGGGACCAGGGCTGAGGGGGTCCCAGCGCGTGGGCCGAGGTGGCCGCGGTGGAGCCGGTTCTGCTGCCGCTGCCGCTCCCGCCTGGAGCCCGAGCGTCGCTGCCGGGCGCGGGTCAGGATCCGTCAGCGCGGGGCCCATCCCGGTGCAGCCACCAGGTCCCCACGTGTTCTGGGCTCCCCCTTTTCCTCTGCTGAAATGCAGAAAAAGAAAAGCCCTCGCCAGGGTGCTGGGCCCGCTAGAAACCCTGCGCATGATTTGTGAACTCTCACAGCCTTGGTAATCTCATCAGAGTAATGGGATTATATTTCAAATCACCATGGCCTGTTCATTACACATTTAAACTCCTTTGACAGAGGAAAAGTTAAATAAAATGTGTGCGTCAGCCCTGCTTGACTTTCCCGGTTCTCTTTCTTGATTAGACAAACAGATGCTGAGCTCCAAAATGAAAAAATAATGTGGTCATTTATTCATTTTT